CTTTATATCATAAAGAGGAAAAAATCGAAAAAGCTTCAAACCCATAGGCGTTTCCCTTGTTTCTAGACCAATTTCTTTCCAGAGGATTTTAATCCCCTGCCTACATCAAAGGCAAATTTAATAAAGAAACGATTCATTATGAACTGAACAGTGGCGCTCAGAGAAAAATCTCATCTCCTTCGCATAAATGCGATGTTATAAATATATAAAAACAACAATTTAGTCAAAAAGTTTCATAATTTAGTTTAAAAACAAGACGATTCGACAAAATTTTATACTCTGGGACCAGTATGTTAATATCAACAACATTAAATCCTCCTATTTTACATCAGTTAAAACCCTAAATGTTATTTAACTATTGAATATGAATCGACGAGTTTGTGAGACTGCTGGGAGTTCATTTTGTTTGGGGCCGATGAACTTTTGAAACTCCGTTTATTTGATCACTTGGTAATAATATTCACATTAATCACGCCCTTTCATAAACAATGTCACTGGGATCACAGTTCCAACTGTATCTAGCTCGTTAAAGAAACAGGACAAAATTATTTTACACTAAAATTCGACTATATGTAATAATAAAAACGACTAATTGATAAAATGACTTAATAGAAACTAGATTTTTCTCATCGAAATCTGTTAGTCTACTGAACACGTTTAATTATTAATGACACAACCGTCAGGAAATTCTTTGTACATATTGATGGCAGAAGATCACCTTCAATGAGTATAAGAACTGGGGTCCTCCAAGGGTCTATTATTGGACAACCTTACAATCTTTATAAACGACCTTTGCAAGTTAAAAACTACAACTGAACTGACTCTTTTAGCTGGTGATACGGCTTTTATAAAAGAGCCTCCTAGGGTTGATCCGCAGAAAATTATCTGTAACTGTAGGCGTTTTAAATATAAAAAAATGGAAAGACTGGGGCAACACTGGTTACTCGATGAAGTCCGCACATTATCAATCAAGTAATAATAAATAAATCGCCAATATCATGTTTTAAGAATGTAAAATACCCTGAAATGTACCTAGATTCCAGACTTAATTATATTTTTATTAAATTTTTTTACTCTTCTTTATCTGTTGTTGACTTTTCATATTTCTTGGGTTTCTTTACAGGAACTGGACAACCATTTTTTTTTATTTGTGAACGTTTAGATGGTCCATTCTTTTGAGCTTTTTTTCCAGTGTGGTAACTAAAATGAAGTCTCTTGGGTTTCTTTTCAGGACTACTCATTTTCTTTTTATTGATATTGATTTCGGGGGCATCAGCCCCCATCATCGGTCTCATTTTCTTTTTGTAAAAAAAAACTTTCTATAAAGATACAAAAAACTCTTTTTTTTTCCTAAAGGAAAACGAGGATGATGCCCCCGAAATCGATGACAATAAAAATAAAATGGGTTTGATGTAGTTCCTGAAATTCTAGAAACCCAAGAGACTTAAAACCAAGAGACCATTTTAGTTACCACAATGAAAAAAAGCTCAAAAGAATGGACCATTCACAAATAAAAAAATAAATTGTACCATTCACAAATAAAAAAATAAATTGTACGCTAAGTCCATTAATATCCTTACGGTGCTCCCATTTTGGGAAATCTGTCTAAATCTAATTTTGCTAACCTCCAGGTAGTCCAAAAAATGCTGCTCTAAGAATTATAGGAGGGTTTCCACGTTGGACTCCGATAGACTACATGCACGTAACCATAAACATACTCAGCTAACACCCCTCACCTATAGAGCACGAGTAAATGATTACAATTCATAGGTAAATAGACCATTTGTACATATAAAATAAAAATATTTTCATTTATAATATAGAGAAGACTTGTACTACCGTAAATACAAACATAAAAAATTATGCACGTATTGTTTAAAAAATAATGAACCTATCGTAAGTCCTTGTCCGTTAGTCGATTTGTTGTGTATGGCATGAACTTAAATATTGAAACAACTACTATAAAAAATAATATACAATGAACATCACTCATACATCGAAAGAAACCTTTCCATTCTTAGCAGATTTTTGTCAAAGATTCACCATTAGTTGCTTCTTATCAGCAAAATAGTAAAATACCACCATGCAATCATTCAGTTTTAACAATATTTTTTTTCCAAATATATTTCTCAAAAAAGAACCGTTGCTTTGATCGATGTCCCCCATTGTGTGTAGATAAGTCAATTTTTTTCTTTTAAATCAACTGACTATTCAAACGGGTTTCATGAAAAAAGTGCGTCTTGACGTTTATCGAAACACCAATTACTTATAACCTATCGAGTTTTGAATCGAGTCAAATGTTTTCATGTTCAAAAAGGACGACCACTTGGATCAAATAGAAAGATCATTTCTGCAACAAAGCCAACGAGTTCATCGATTTATGACAGCTGAAAACTTTCTTCAAACCGACACCTTTTTCTTGTAACCAGAAATTTTGGCGTTCAGCATAGAATTTTTTAGGCCGATCCCCCCTCGAAATCGACTTATGAACTTGATTTTTTTTTAAATTTCAAGTCTTCGCATGATTCTCTTCAAATCAACATCTTTGCGCCCATAAATCCCATAGGAAGAGAATCAAAATTGACTAAATTCATATTAAATCTGAATCGTAATTTTTAAATTTAAAACCAGAGCTTTAGAAGCAATTCACGATTTGGGAATGTTTTCTCAAATAGTCTCTCGTCATAAAAAGGCCGAATATGCCTGCGATCGCGTATGAATTTAGATGATAAATTGTGACTATTTTCCATGTCCGTATAACAAACCGAACATGGTGCTATAAATTTATATTAATATCATTGAGTAAGGTATCGGCCTTCGATGACAATAGCAAAAACTTGGAGTTAATGTATGAAGCCACGAAGGGAAAAATTGTTTTCTGATTTCGAACTTTCGACCGATTTTGACGCCTTCCACAGGACTATATTTAATTAAGAAATTGTTTTAAAATAAACATACATATTTTTATTATATACATACACTTTTTTTTGTTAAACAGTAAAAAGAGTTTTTATTTAATGTAATTTCAAAAATGTTTCATAATTAAATACTCGTGATGAAGGCGTTCTGAGGACCGTTTAGTTAAGAAGTTTTTTAATACAGACTACATATATATAAAAATTCTTTTTGTTAAACATAAGAAAAAATTATGTTATGTGAATTTTAAATTTTTTTCTTATTTAAATTAAGAAAACAATATTAAAACTAAATAATTATATTAACAACGATTTAATTAAATTTAATAAAAAATTTAAAATGCACATTAAATATAAATGTTATGGCTTTTTTTCCCAAAAAATACTTTTAATTTTTTCTTAATTAAATAGTCCTCAGGACGCGTTCATTTTGAAAAAAAATTTATAATACAGATTAAATGTAACTTTTTTGACGGTTTTTTCCGAACTTTTTTTAAATATGTAGTGTATTTTAAATTTTTTTCTTAAATTAAATAGTCCTCAGGACGCCTTCATCAGGACTATTTAATTAAGGAAACACTCGAAATACACATTAAATATAAATTTTTTGAGTTTTTTTAAAATATGTATTTTTTTATTTTAATTAATGAGTCCTCAGGATGCCTACATCAGGATTATTTAATCATGAAAAACTTACACATTAAATATAAATTTTATGATGGTTTTACAATTTTTTTAAATATGTAATTTATTGTATTTTTTTCGTAATTAAATAGAATCCTAAGGATGCCTTCATCAGGATTATTTAATCACGAAAAACGGTAAAATGCTCATAAAATATCTTTTTTGACGGTTTTACAATTTAAAAAAAGTAATGTTTATTCTAATTTTTTCTTAATCAAATAGTCATCAGGCATCTGGTCCCACAGGACGCCTTCATCAGGACTATTAATTATAGAAAAATTTACAACACACATTTAATATAAATTTTTTGATGGTTTTACAATTATTTTTAAAATATGTAGTGTATTTTAATTTTTTCTTAATCAAATAGTCATCAGGCATCTGGTCCCACAGAACGCCTTCATCAGGACTCTATTAATTATAGAAAAATTTACAACACACATTGAAATTTTTTTTTTTACTGTGCAACAAAATTTTTTAAGTTCTTTTGTTAAAAAAATCGTAATTAAATAGACCTCAGGACTATTTAATTATGAAAAATTTTAAAATACACATCGAACATAAATTTTGTGATTATTTTTTCACAATTTTTTTCTTAATTAAATAGTCCTAAGAAAGAAGGCCGAATATCACAAAAATATTTTTTTAACCTTCTTGACTTCATACCTGATCTCCAGGTTTTTATTATTTTAATTTATCCATTTATGGTTAGTGATCTAATTGACCTTTACTTATTTCAGTTGTAATTAATGTCGAAGTTTCAAATTTCCAAGTAAATTTCATTGGAAAAGAACAAGCACATGGATCTAGGGCTATTTACTTGAACCAAAGTTTGCCTTTCTAAGAATGAGCATCATTCAGGTCGATGTTGTGATTTTCTTCAAATATGGCAATTCAAATTCTTCTTTACGAGTTTCGTTACATTAAAAAAAATTGATCTATTGTTCCATCGCCCCCGCCATTTGCAATCAATCTTATAAACTGCGGCCCCTTCGAGGAAATCCTGGGTGGCGCCCGTGTCACAAACAAATGAATAAAAAAAACTTTTCTTGCTAGAATTTCCGATGGGGCCTCGGCGCCCCTCCCGCGACATCCCAAGAAACGGCCGCAGGCGAAGAATGCTTGGAATGCTTCATGCCCCCACCACCAGCAAACAGCGAACGGCCGGCAACCACGGGCAAGAAACTACTGCACTATATCTCCGTCTCTCTTGCTCACAGTTAGGAATATTTAACCCCGGTGTGACGTCATATCCGCCCCCCTCTACGAGAGGATCAGTGCACTCTGCAGGGCGTGGCCGCCAAACGTTCCACACCGACGAACCCACAAGAGGCGTACAATCCTTCGGCAGTGTGTCGTCCGTCGTCGTATTGTCTGTTAGAAATTTATGAGAAAATATACCTTGTGTATCGTTGATGAAGATGTTCAAGAGCCATGCTGTTTCTTCAGGCGAGTCCGATGCCGCTTTCTTCTGAAGAGCCGATAATTGGTCATTCCCGAAATGCCTGCAAAAAAAATGTTTTTCAAAATAAAAAAACCAAAACAAAAAACTGTTTAGAAAGAGTGGGCCGAGTGTAGGGTAGGTCAGACTCAGACCTATAACGGTCGGATTTGAGAGAGCGTGGAGCAGCAGGCGACCTTCGGTTTCTCGCCCCCCTTCTTTCTTTGTCCGCTCCAAGCAGATGGAAGATGAACCCGACAGATGGGGAGATGAGGGAAAGAAAGAGCGCCGGAAGGGAGCGACTAGGTCCTTATTTCCGGTTACAAAATAACCGTCAAGGACAACTTCCACTGTTTATAATTTAAATTTGACATTAACGATTGGGACGGAATCCTTACGCACTCGGATCTCTTGGACGAGATAAGGGAGACAGGATGTTTACACAAAATTGTATGTATCTAGGAGATAAGCGAGTTATTAAACTGAAGGGAGATAGCTTTTTTTTCTCCTCAGTCTTTTATCTATTCCTGGGAGGGGCAGAACACAAACCTTGACGGGAAGAACCTTTGGCCTGTTGATTTCGGAAGTACTGACTTGTGCTTTCCTTTTGCGTAGACTAATGGAAAGAAAAGTGAATTTTTTTTTTTTAATTAACAGCAGACAACGGTATGCCATCAGCCGGCGTCAGACGAACAGTTCGTCACATCTGCTCTTGAACGACCCCACGCAACTATGCCGATCGGTTTACACGATCGCCGGATGTGAAACAGTGGAAATAATTAAATTTATTCTGGCAGAATCTGAGCTTAAAATATAAATAAAATAACGACAAGATATAAAAAAATAACAAGTTAGATAAAAGAAAAAATATCGGCACAGATAACGGAACGTGGTGTCGAACCCCGTATTGGGCGAAAAATTGAAGGACCTTCGCATCAAAAGAGAAAACGCTGGTAAGGATGGGATATGGCATATTAAAATCTTAAAAAATTAAACCAAGGATTAAAACAATAAAAATAAATTGAGGTGGGGTGCGTATACCACTTCACTTTTTGGGAAAAAATTTTTTTACACACAGAATGACTTCTCCACAGCAGACTGTGAGCAGAAGCAGTCCTTTCCAAAAAAATGAAGATTAAAACTCGCTAACGGTGTTTCCGGAGGATGTGAGAAGCGTGAAAAATCGTTATGTGTTATGTGTTTATGTATTTCTCGTTATTTTAATAGTATCTGTGGTACATACGAGAGGCTAGCCAACTAACACCAATAAGAGATAAAATATCATCTAAATTGCCGAAAGAAAGAAAAAGAAACAAGGTTAATGAGAATCCGCACTATAAAAATCGAAATTCTGATCAAATTGTCAACAGCTCGTAAAATAAAGCATGTGAATTATGTCGTCAATGTAGTAAGGTAGTAAAAATCTTTGCTTTTTGGTCGTCAATGTTGATTTTTGACTACTATCTTACTACAATGACACTGCAATGATTTCATGCAGTCTGGAGTTGTGAAACTACAAAACAGCACTTTCAGGTGTTCTTCAGGTCATTGATCAAAATGTCTAATGAACCATCTACCTGAACTACCAGCTCAATCTGATCCTAAGATATTACTGTAGATTCCCTGAAAAAAATTCGATGTATCAAAATACAAAGGGATAAAAGAGACGGCCCACAAGGCCTTCTGCACCTCGACCTGAATAGATCTATGGTGCTCCCCTGTTTTTATAACTCACTGTCCAGCTTCAGATTATTAATCAGCATCCGTAGCTTTGCCAGAGGCTCCTTAGCGTAGGACCTTGCTTGCGGTTTTTCTTGTCCTAGTTGCAAGAACCTGCATCTACGTAGACCTTCAGCGAAACATCAAATGTGTTCTGCGGTCTCTTCCTCCTGGGAGTATCTGAACAGTGTTTCTCTCTATCAGGTGCATGAGATTTCTCAAGTGGTCATGTCCTGTCAGGAGTCCAACCAGAATCCTGGTTCTGTTGCAATTACCTTCCGGTAATTCTTTTATAAGTTTTGCGGATGGTCCTATGAATCTCTTCGCGTGCCTCATACCTATGGTGTGTTCCACCAGGTTTTGAACTCATTAAGGATCCATTTTAAGATGTATCCTCTTTTGTGCCAGGATGCTAAGTACAGTAGTGAAACAGTAGTGTTCAGGACACAGAGAGTCCAGGTTGGCTCCCTCTTTGGCCAAAATGTCAACCTTTTCGTTGCTTCCATGCCCCAAGCGCTCAGGGACCCATGCCAGGGTAGTGTTCACTAAAAACGATTTTAATGTAACACAAATCATGCACCAAATTTTGATTTGTCAGATCAATTTTGCTCTGATTTGAAACATCAGAACAAATAACTACTCAAGTAGTTCAATTTGGAAGCTATCTAATAAGTGAGAATGCTTTTGAATTAGTAAAAGCACTGAAGTATACCGACAAGACCTAAGTGACAGGTAAATTTTCTAGTATTTTCCTTTCTGAAAGATTGCTCCCTGGGGAGGAAAATATCCAACCGTGGAGTCTGGACTATCGCCATCTTTTGCGTGTGTAATATTCTAATTGACATGACAATCTAACACCTAATGCCAGATCAAAATTTAAATCAACAGTTTAAGCTTTTCTATGAAATCTATTAAGCTTCCACTTCCTAGTGAATGATCATAAATAAATAAATGAAAATTTACGAAGTTTCTATCATCAAACAATCTCAAGGGTAGGTTGAGGGTTTAGGGTTGAAGCTAGTTTTCCAAACAAACTGTTTAATTTTAAGTCATTTTTATGAGGGTTTACGACAAAAACAACCCGATTAATTTTCAATATTCGCTCAATACGTTCGTGATGAGACAAGTATACATCCATTCTCATCAATGAGGCGGCGTTCTGCCGAGCCCCGTACGAGGATCAATAAGCGCCAGGGACGCTCGCTTGATCGAAATTGATCATCGCTGATCCGCCCGTTCTCGCTCGACCTAGCTCAATGCCGCCACTTTCACTGCAAGTTCATGAACGCAAGGTCGTCAATGTTGATTTTTGTGAATGAGGATTACTACTGGAGGTCCTCCAACAATATACCTCGACCTTAAGCAAAACCAAATAACAAATTCTACACGGTTGTAAAAAAATGTTTATAGGAAACACTTTTTGGCATTGTGGGCAAACAATGAGAAAACCGGTTTTACAAAAATATTTACAAACAATAAGGATAATTGTATCGAAAATGAACATTTTCCTGTCTCGTCAATAATAACTTAATAAAATCAAAAAAATAATAACAAATAATTGGTCTTCAAGCTACAAGTCAATGAGGAAAATCAACATTTTCCGGGCTTGCCAATAATAACTTAATAAAATAAAAAATAATTGGTCTTCAAACTGTTGTCAATGTGATCAAAATCGTCCATTAGGCGAAAGCACTTACTAAGTTAATATCCGTAATTTGATTAACTGTATGAAAATTTGGCCCCAGAGTTCAGTTGTTTATCGAAAACATGAGCTAGATTTTAAAAACATTACGGTTGGCTTGAAAGGTCCAGAACAGAGTATTATTTAAATCAAAAATGGCTTCGGTGGAGTATGGTGTTTAGTCGTTTCGTGTTACATCGGTCCGCCTGTCCTCGCTGGTTTGGCCTGTCGGACACATTTTGACATGTCTGTATCTTTATTCTTAAATGAAAAATTCCGCTTTTGAGTCTGTGGTGTACAGAACCAATTGTGTAGACGTTTCCTGTTTTATCGTTCTGCATATCCTCGTTGTTTTGGCCTGTCAGACACATTTCTGTATCTTTATTCTTTGATCGAGTATTAATTTTTCATGTGTTATCATTTTGTCATAAACGTGTCACAGGAACTCGGCTAAGAAAATCAAATATTACACCACTACTGAAGATGGCGAGAAGCCGAAGCCCAAGCTTCTATGTCTAGACCAAAATGAACAGCGCCCCAACAACTATCTCAAAATAGTTCGTTAGCATTGTAAATCAAAAACGAATGAAAAAAAAATCAAGGGATTTTTTTTACGATTTGGGTGTTCGTAATCTGAGATCCAAGGGCATAACGGCGTCTTAAAGATAGTACAATATTAATAAATATTAGACTTAACACTAATAAACGACAAACAAACAAGAACAGTTGATAAGATTGTCTGGAATTTTTGGGTCCGCCTGTTTCCGCTGTGCTTTCTGTAAAGCGGCCGAATAGCCCCCCCCCCTCGACATCCGTATCCTTCAAAGAACGGCCAAATGAAAAGGGGCATGGGTTCATTAACCGACAAACAGACATCCACGGATCGCGTAAAGCCGACACGCGTTCCTCTGACCAAGGACAACAACGAGAATGGGCGGACCCAGAAATGAACAGTAATGAACCGAGTTGCTGACAACAGTTCATTCACTCGGTTGCCCCGGCGGTTCGACCGGGATTTCAAATTAAAAAAATAAAACCATGCGATTCTGTCTTATCACATCGCCCATTGACGAGGAGAAGAGAAGGGTTCCATCTCCCACTTTTGCATGCGTATTCGAACCGGAAAAATTTTACTACCGAGGCAAGCTTTTGGTTCAACAAACAATGGTGTAGTGCGTTAAAAAATAAATGGATAAACAAATGAAACTGCATTTCAGTTGTTAGCATTTTAATTTTTGATTTAAATAGTGAGGAGCGGTCTGGATAGATGAATTTCAGAAGAATTTAGTTTCATAATTGATTTCTTCAAAATTTAAATATTGAAAAAGAAACATTTTCTCCGAAATAATCATTGTTTAAAAATCAAATTTGACTATGACACGTTTTTGATGGATGTAAGGACTTTCAATTATAATTATCCCTAACAAGAGGTTTTTTTAGGGAAATTTTTAGATTAATTTTTTGGTTTTTGTTTGAAAAAAAATCCATGATTTAAAAAAACCAATTTATTATTTGGTCTTGCTAATTTTCTCTGAACGCAAAGATTTAGATCCTGATGATGGGTGTTAATTCCCGTAACGAAAAATAAACGTTTATATAAATAATAATTTTTTTAAACAAAAAAACAAAACATATCCCTAACAAAAAAAATTTAAAAAAAGGTA